GGAATGTGAAAGACTGTGCATTAAGTGGTGCCATTTGTACGGTACAAGTTAAATAACCAAAAGAAAGGACAAAAGTGATTTTTGGAAAAATAAATAAATCTAAAGGACAGCTTTCTGAAACAAAGGACTGTCCTTTATTATGAAGGACATATGGTCACTGTACCTAGAGAGGGCAGAACAGCCTTTTCAGATAACTGGACATAGGAAAGCCGCTTCAGTTAAGCCTTTTTCAAGGCACACGCTTGGCATGGAGTCACCAATGGATTCTGCTTCCCTGTGCATGCTATTCCTACCTTCATGGCTTTGATGTCACTACGTTGAAGAGTACAGTCTAGAGGGAGTCCTATTCACATTTGCTTAAATCATATTGTTCTATCACATTATTATATATTACATGGTGAAAAAAAATTATTTTAGGTGAAATCTTAGTGAGAACTCATCTCCCTATGGGCCAGGTTTTAATGTAAGGATATGGCAATAGAATATGAACAATAACCATAAATGGAAAAGCAGAGTACATCTGAATGTAATTGGAGACTTTTGGCAATAAATAAACTAACAAAGATACTGCAGTTACATTCAGATTTACTGTATTCCCCATGGGAGTAATAATACTGATGAATGGAATTCAGGTTAAAGAGCTTGAATGGATGTTGTTACTAATTTTAATACTGCTCTCAACATTTATTGGACTTTTAAAAAAAAAAAATCCCATTGTTTCTTAGTTTTGGTTTGTTTTAAATTATATTTTCATTGCACATCAACCTGAATGTCTATAAATTCTATAACTCAGTCAAATGAACAAAAAAGTTGATACCAAAAGTCAAGCTGCTAAGTTGTGGGTCCCCCCACCACCACCACCAATACTACTTCTGCACTAATGGTCACCCTTTTTATACTTTCTGCTTTTGAAAATACATGCGTGCGTGTGAGCTGCTCTGTTCTTTTAATTTTCCACTTGCGGTAGAGTGAAGAGATGGTAATAAAAGAAAAAAAGAAAGCAATTGCACTTTATCAATCCCTAATTTAATGCCTGTGGTATGGCTTGAAAGAAAGAAACTCCAAGAAAGCAATGCAGCTATGACCCACAACAGGATTCTGATAGATTTTCATATCCTTGAGGTCCGTAATGAGCATTTTCTACTGAAGAACAGATACTACAATCCATCTACTGAAGACAATTTCATCTCTCCTTAGGAGTTGTCTGTGTCCTCGATCTAAATCTGATACCATCCCAAGGGCCTTTTGGGAGATTATACCCATGAAGAAATATTCCCAAGCAGTTCCTCTCTCTCTCTCTTTCTCTCATATTGCTGTTTTTATGTCCAACTCATTTCTTACCTAACTTCTAAATTTAAGTACAAATCAACCTCCCTGTCAGGTGGAAAAAGACCTACAGCATTTGCTAAGGCTTAGAGCATCACATTATTGCATCCTGCTATTGGATGCTTCACCTGTAAATTCATCAGCAGAGCCCCAAAAGATTTTTATTTTCTGATAAAAAGCTAAGATATTATCTGTAAAGAAGTTGATAGGGAAGGTGATTGTTGTCAAACCATTAAAAAATCCCCAAACATTCTTAAACTAATAACTTCTGAATTGTGTCATAGGTAACCCGTGCTGCAGATCCCACATTGGTTACCAGTAGGTTTCTGGGGCAATTTAAAAAGTTTTAACTATAAAGCCCTTTATGGTTTGGCACCAGTTTACCTTCAGGACTATATTCTCCCACTAGAATCAGCCTGAGCAGTTAATCTTGTTGGGAATTGCTGCTGGAGGTTCCCCACTTTCAGGAGGTGAGAGGACTGAAGCATAGAGGATCAGGCAGTGCCAGTCCTCTGGAATGGCTTCCCCATGAAAACTTCCCATTTTAACTACTTCCCATGACCAGCTGAAAAATGGGCATGGCTTTCTGGGTTGTTGGCTGCTGGGGTTGCTTATGCTTTATACTGTATATGCATATGTTTCTAATTTTAACCTAACTATGAATGTTCTAATTGATTGATTTATTGATTATGTGCCATCAAGTCACTGTCAACTCCTAAAATGTTCCTAATGATCTGTTCCTAGCCTGCTTTTTCAAGTCTTCCAGCTGTGTACTCATAGCCACTGTAACTGAGGCCATCCTCCTTGCTGCTGGTCATCCTCTTCTTCACTTTCCTTCCACCTTTCCCAGCATTAGAGCTTTGCCCAGAGAGCTAGAACTTCCCATGATGTTTCCATAGTAGGATAATTTGAGTCTGGTCATTTGTGCCCAAGTGAGAACTCTAGGTTGATTCGAATGATCCATCAGTTTGTTTTCTTAGCTGTCCACAGTATTCTCAGGAGTCTTCTCCAGCACCAATGTTCAAAAGTGTCAATACTCTTCTTAGCCTGCTTCTTGAAAGTCCACCTTTCACTTCCATAGGGTATCACAGGGAACACCATGGCTTGCACAATTCTGATCTTTGTAGGTATAGATGCATCACGGCAGAGCTTTCATGGTTGCTTTACCAAGTGCTAGTCTGCAGCGTATTTCTTGAATGCTTGTTCCTTTATTGTTGAATGTTTTAATTGTTACTATACATCTTGTGAATTGTATGTGTGTGTGTGTATGTGTATTTCAAATTTGTCACTGCCCATCTCACTGCAGAGCGACTCTTGGGATTCTTTCAGGATTGCAGCAGGATATAAATGTAATAATAAAAATAAACAAATAGAATGCTAGGTGTATGCCACTTTCTTAACAGAAAGGTGTATACTCTTAATTCAGCTTCAGTAAGATTCACTGGGATACCTGGTTAATTAGTGTTGTTATGTGGAAGGGGCACTCCAATTTGATGCAGCTTTAATTGAAATGTGCCACTGGGTGGCACCCCAGACTGAAATGTCTTTTTCCCTTCAAAGCATTAGATCAGAAGAGCCACACTGCCTCGTTCTAGATGGAAGGAGCTTCTATCCACATCCTTTACACATGCAGGACCCCCCTTCTACTGAAGGAAAGTAGCCAGCTGAATTGTGTTGATGTCAGCTTCACTGAGGCCAAGTGACTTGATTTTCCAAATCAATGTGCCACCTTGAATTAAATCATTGTAGCAGTCAAGACAGATGCAGTGGCTGAAGATAGAACGGAGGTGCCTCTGGGCACGTCATTAAAATAGTGCAACTTTTTCAAACTTCCCTGTCAGCCTGGAAAGAAAAATCTCCTGGAGCTTTAGGAGTTGCATTATTTTTAATGAGTGGACTTCTTAAAGCAGCCACATTTTTTTTTCCAAGCTGAAAACTTTTGGCTGTTTTGTAGCACAGAGTCTTGCAACCATGTGATGCTGAAACTTTTTTTTTTCTTAATCATCTTCCAAGCATGTAAAACCTTATTAAAAACACTCAGTATGAATAACATGAAAGCTCCAGGAGAATGGGGGGGGGGAGCCTTTTAAATGAAACTTCAAGCCCACTGAAATACCCAATATGTATGGTGCACTCTAGTCATGTCCATTTTTAGAGATACATTGTATGTGTTGACATTTAAGCTACATGAACTATGTTTTATGCAAAGCACCAAATGCCTTAAGGAATGCTATATTGTTCCATTTGCAAAAGGTGTCATTTACTGTTATGCTTTCCTTGAGTCTAATGAAATGTATATGGGGGAGGAGAAAGCAGCAAGAAAGTGTGCTGAATGTTAAAACAAATGTGTATTCATCTTAATATAGATATTGATTCTTGAACAATTTTGCCCACCTTTGACTAGTATGCTAGTTGTGGCCCTTTTTGTAGCAAGAAATCCTTGTGATAGTGACTTATGCTCTCATCCCCTCTAGGTTATACTACTACAACACACTCTTTTAAAAAGGGCTACCTTTGAAGACAACTCAGAAACTCCAGTGCCAGCTGGTGAGTCAAAACAATACCTCTGCTACTTGTGGTTGTCAACTGGTACTCAGTTAAAAATGCTCCAGATTACATGTCTTGGCTCTGAGCTACATTTGAGACCATCTCCTCCAAGGAGAATCTCCCTCTTTTTTTTGTTCTTTTTGAGAGGAGATGCTTCTGGTTCCTATCCAGCATGAGGTTAAGGGATATGGACCTGGAGGTACTGTAGATCTTCTCTGTTGTGGCCTTCCTGCTATGAAGCAGCTTCTCCTCTGAGGTCAGATTGGCTCCTTCCATGCTGAGCTCTCAGCAGGTAGTTAAATATTCTTATTCCATTGTGCATTTGCTAATTACCTGTTTTTAAAAATCTATTGCAATTGTTGCTGTTATAAACCACCTAGAGGTTTGGGCTAGGCTGGCATAGAAATCTGTGCAATAAATAAATTAACATCTCTTGGAACTAAATATGTTACATATGTTGAAGATGTTACAAGCATCTGAAAAAGAACTGAAATGTATTTGTATGCACTTCAGGTACAAAGCTCCTTCCTCTTCGTTACAGCCAGATTCAATTATCTTGAAAATTGTCAGAAACTGAGTGATCCATACTGAATCAAGGCTTCACAAAACTGCCAGGTATATCTACCCAAATACCATGCAAATCTCAAGAAGCAAACTGGTCCAAAATATACAGTGAGAAGGCAAAGACAGAAAGATGGTCTTGTAAGTTGAATCCAGTGCAAATTGGAAAGGCAGCAAAAGGAGCTGCAATTCTCATCCAAATTGCTGGCAGCTGTCTTATGCCATTTCCAGTAGGGCTGCTCAAGCCAGAAGGAGTGGAATGGCTCTATTTTGCTTTACATCTTTATCAGTACTTGCACAGGTAAGCACACCTGAGTACAAATCTCTAGAGATGGGAACTGCAACTTTCTCAGGCCCAGGGCATCAGAAAATATAGGGGTTCCTGGATTCAATCCCTGGAAATTTAAGCTAAAGGATTTTTTGGGGGGAGGATGTTGGGGAACCTAGAAACCCACTCCCTGGAACATTATTGGACCAGATCAACAAAGAGTATTCTTGAATGCATATTTTTAAAAAAGCAGAAATCTCTAGAAAGTAGAAGTGCAGAAAATGGTGCCTCCAGAAAATCCAACCTCAGTGTATAATGGAACATATGTTTAAAATACAGAATCCTTGTGAAGTCTGGATCCTTGAAAAAAATGCACTCCTGTAGCAACTACAATACTTATTTTATCAGTACCAAGACAGCATCCATAGAAGGGCTAAGTACAAGACGCCATACCTTCTGGAGACATTTCAGGAACAGTGGCTTCATAAGGTCCATCCAAGAACTGTGGGCCACTGTCATTCAGAGAATTATCTTGCTTGCCTAAGTCAGACTTCAACTAAAAAAAAGAGTAAGAAGCTGATTTGCAAATATCATTCAAGCAAAGCTCATTGTTTTCAAAATGAAATCAAGGGGATGGATGGATGGATGGATGGATGGATGGATGGATGGATGGATGGATGGATAGCCAGCCATGCTTTCTAGGTTGCGATTCATATTAATAGAAATGCTAACACACATAACATGACATGATGATGTATTGCTTGTCTGCCCAAATTTATTATTTTCAGCATTTTCTTCCTGGATCAGAAACAAACAGTTTTAGAATATGACATTTGCTACATAATTCTTGCCAATAGATTGGGCTGACAATCTGGCAACCATATTTACCAGCCAGATCATTGCATTTTGGATGGATATGAAAAAATGGCAAGTCCAAGAGATTATAGATCAAACAACAACAAACAACAGGGCTCAGGGCTCTACAGTCTCCCCCCTCCTTTCAAATATCCTCATGAAGCCCATGGGTGATATATCATTGATCATACCCAGTTATCCATCTCTGTCCCTGTCTGGCCAAGTGAAACTGTTTTAGTTTTTTCCCACTGCCTGGAACCTGTAAGAGTTTGGATGGGGACAAGCAGGTTGAGGCTCAGTCCTGCCAAGACTGAGTGGGTATGGGTTTTGGGGGCCCCAGATCTGGAATTAGAGTGTTTCCATTTTGGTTCTGGATGGAGTAGCACTCCCCCGTTGAGACTTGCAGTGTAATCTGGGAGTTCTCCTGGACTTACAGCTCCTGCTTGAAGAAGAGGTGACAGTTGTGGCCAGTGGGTCCTCTGCACAACTACATCTTCTGAGCCAGTTGCACCCATTCCTGGATTGGGAGGCCTTGCTCAGTCAGTCATGCCCTAGTCATCTCCTGATTGGACTACTGCAATGCACTGTACATGGGGATGTCCTGAAGACCATCTGTAAACTTCAGTTGATCCAGAATGCAGCAGTGTAGGTAATTATGGGTGCAGCTTGTTATGCCCTTGTAATACTACTGCTATGTAAGTTGCACTGGCTCCCAATATGGAGTCCTTCAATGTGAAGGTTATGACCTTTAACACCCTACATTGCAAAGGACCAAGTTATTTGTGGGACCACCTTCTTCCACATCCCATCCCACATGCTCCCACAGGGAGGGCATGCTCCAGATTCCTTCTTTTAAACTTTGCCACCTTATGAGATCTAGGAAACATGCCTTTTCAGTGGCTGCCCTTGTGCTCTGCAATGATCTCCCTCTCCAATACATGACAGGCCCCCAACTCTGTTTACCTTTAGAAAAGCTGTTAAGACCTGGGTTTTCCCCAGGCATTTGAGGAAGAGTCCACTTTGGTTGTTTTTATTATATTTATATTAGTCACAATTTTATACTCTGTATTTTATATTTATATAATGTGTATGTTTTATGTTATTTTGTTCTTTTGGCTTATTGTTTGTTTTTCTGCTGTACATTGCTCAGTCATATTGTTTCTGTTGGGTGACCTTATAAATATAGTAAATTAAAAAAATAAATAAAGTAAAATCCAATTTAGCAGTTCTCTCGAGTGTGAATAAAGTTTCAATATGCATATTTAAATTGTATTGTATACCCATTTGAGGCTATGCCATGGCCCAACCTGGACTTTTTCTACAATATTTCCTTCTCTTTCCCTTCTTTGCTGCTTTTGATTAATATAATCTATAGCCTGAAGAAGAATTTCCCTGCTTATTTTGTAACCCTTTGAGTTGATCTAGTAAAGTATGATCTTATTGATTTTTGGTACTATTTAAATTTTGTTTTAATCAGTGGAGATGCAAATATCTTGGGAATATACATTTTAACTCTTTATTTTTATTTTCTGTCCTAGATTTCTTCCTACTTTTTATGCCTCCCACCACATCAATGTTGTCCTACCTTTGAACTATATACTCTGATTAACATTCCTAAAACAGCATATGTCACAAAACAAAGCATATCACTCTCCCTCTAATTACAAGTTCTAAATAAATAGCATAACACCTAGAGAAGAACTTAGTACACTAACTTAGAATGCAAAATAATACATGCTCTGCTCTCACGTTGCTTTTGATTTATTTCTAACAAATCTCAGAAATTCTGAATGGGAGGAACTAAGTGTCTGTAAATATCTCCAAGCATGATAATTTTAATTTTTGATGCATGGCAAGTGATTTACATGTTCCCCTGCCCACTGCACATATGTCCAGCTTTGACCTTGGTCCCACTTCTAGATTTTTGAGGCAGGAGAAGATTGAAGAACCTTCATGGAGCAAACCAAAGATCCCTTCACTCCAGCATTCTGTGTCACGCAGTAGCCAATTCAATATATTTGGCAGACTCATAGGCATGTAGGAAAGGGCACTAGGTCTCTTCTACCCTGGGTGTTTAAAATTTATTACCAGTGATTCAGGAGGCATTATATAGTCATCCTGACTTGAGCCACTAACAGTTCAACCCTCCATGAATTTATTTAGCTCCCTTTTAAACACTCCAAATTGGTGGTTATCACCATATGTGATGGCAACAAATCCTATAGTTTAACCTCATTTTATGTAAAATTGAATTTTCCTGCATTTTGTTTCAGCAGATGACCTCAAGTTCTAACACTATATGAGAGAACCATGCTTGATTTTATATATCTTCATCTTGTCTCTATTACTTCACTTGACTCTAAGTTAAAAAGCCCCCAAAGCTATAATCGTTTCTACATAGGAGTTGTTCTATCTGCTAATAATTTTGTTGCCATTTTTTAAAAACATCTTCCAGTTCTATTGCATGCTTTCTGAGGTGCATGACCAGAATTGTGTACAGTAATTGAAATGCAGTCTTATTAGAGATGTATATGAAGGTACTTTTATTTTTGGGTTCATTCCTAATGATCCCAAAAATAAAAGTACCCTTGTCTTTTCTTAGTACTTACACCACCGCCATGGTGAATAATAATCACATTGCATACTGAGCTAAGTCTCCCCTCCCCTCCCCACCCAACCAGGATGTCAGAATAAATAGACTATTGGTTTGATAAGTTAGGTTTAGTCTATTATTCATATTCAAAGGAAACCATCAAGAGTCCTTATAAATGCACTGTGGAAATTCACTGAAAAGAGACAAGGAAAAGCAACTCTTCATCTCCTACGTGCACTATGCTTTATGTAGGTCACGATGTACTAGAGTCACTTTTTTTGGAATCCATATTAAAAATCCACATTTGAATTTCCTTACTCTTTTGTTGATTTTTTAAAAAGCAAACTTTCAGATATATGAGTACATTTTAAAAGGATACCAAGTTTGTGGATGCACACATTTGAATGTGAGTCTCTCTTTGCCCCTTTTGAAATAAGTCATCATATTTCCACCATGGTTGCTTTGAAAAGCTGTGAAAAGTAATTAATGGATTTTGAGCACTTCACCCTTTGGGCCCAATTAAATGTTAGCGCTAGTTAATTAGTGGTTAAACTTTTTGCCATTTATTCAGCTTGAAAGTTGCCTTACAGAAAAGGTTGCAAGATCTAGAGATCAAAAAAATGGATTTAGGTTTGTTTTTGTTTACATGTTTGGTCTTGCTTTTTCCAGCAGTAAAGGAGAAGGAGACAAAATCAGAGACGAGGAGCAAAAGCATAGAGGAGAAGGAAGAATCCAGGATAAAATTAGCAAATGTGCAACCAGTGTCTATATTTTAAGGAGGACAAAAAAATAATTGCTCATTGTGGCCAAGCCACATTAAAGTAATGAACCATGCATGCCCCTAGAGCTGGCTTACTGGTAAAAGAATTTAGTATTAGTTTGCTTCATTAAAAATTAATGACAAGTAAATTAGCCACTACTTAACATAATCAAATATCCAGCTAAGTGATTCTGGTAAACTCATTCCTTGTTCTGTGTGTCTACTCTGATGAAGAACCGAAACCGAACAACAGTGACAAAAGGTTGAAGTCAATTGCCAGATGTTGATAATGAGTAAATTCTGTCTTTTATTTTGGAAGACGAAAAGGGTTGGTCAGTTCCACAAATTTGCCTTTCCAACTAGGCATTCCAACGCTTGACACCTTCTAGAAGTATTGGAGCCCAAATTCTCAAAATTGCTGGTGCTAGTCCAGGACCCCTTAATTCAGGAGAAGCCCAAATAACCCCAAGAGACCAGCAGCAATGAGATAATGCCAGTGACCAGCTGGTGAAGCCCCACAGAAGAATACCACATTTCAAATGATTTTTAAAAAATCAAAATACAAGCAGCAAAACTACTGCTGCCTTATGAATATTCAGTCATGCAAAAGAATTGCTCTCTTGCCATGTAGGCGATGTCACTGGCAGTATCACCCAAGGTAATATCTGGTTGGTTTCACTGCCTGACGTCCCACTCCACCAGTTAAAAAGATGCCATCTTCTGCTGTGTGTATTGACCCTCAAGCATCTGGTGCAGCATTTTCACAGTGCACAGCACCTCTGGCTATGGAATCTGAAGGAGAGGTGATGCCTGGGTGTGAAGATGCACAAGAGGATCGCAGCAGGGATGTGATGGCAGTGAAAGCAGAGGCAGAGGCATCAGCAGGAGGAAGGATAAAGTGGGGGAGAAAAGGGAGTAAAAACAAGTGGAAGGAATAGCCTGGATAAGGGAATGATCAAGAAAGCCTGGTCCCACAAGGCTCTTGTCTACCTTTTTACATGTTGCAACCTCTCAGCAAGAATTCCCAGCTCCCTGTCCAAATGTACTTTCTGTACAGAGAAACTCTATGCCTAAATTAAAGCTGAGTCAGAACTGATCCAGATTATGTTAAATGAGAACCTTTAGGGTAATAGTAGAGAACGTAAGGTCAACTATTGCTCCTATGCATCCATATCTTTATATGTCATTGTGTATTGCTACACATACAGTACATCACAAGAAAGTTTCAAGGAAAATGTTTTCTCACCAGGCCAGATCAAAGGAAAGCTTAGAGAAGCAGCAAGATATTAATCAACACCTCAGTCTCTTGCTAATCTCTCTTCAGAAGAATTACCGTACCTGGCCTGATTTCAAAGGAAGTGTTGACATCATTTTTTCCTGTGCAACCAGCAAGCTCCGAATGTGGCTATGTTTCACACCTGGAGATCTCATCAAACCTTGCTCCGTGTCCTTGGTGTTACAATTGTGCATGCAAGGAAGACATGGTCCCAGCTGAAGGAGGGTCAAAGCAAAAGAAATCCATTTCTGACAATACATGCTGAGATTCCCTTTTCAATCAATATGCATCTGTGGGAAGAAAAAAAAAGTAACTCTTAGAGCAGAAACACTGTTTCTCTCTCAAATTGATGAGAGCCACCCTTAAAAAAATTAAGCATCTCTGTTTCCATGTTTGTTTTCCAGAAACATGTAAACCCACAAACTGCATACAGACAGGAAAATCATCTTTCCTTTCTTATATCTGACCAATTAAGCTTTATCGTTCTTGTTATGCAATCTAACAACAATTCTAAAATTTATTTGGAGCTAAAGGCACCTAGAGGGGAAAATAAAGAGGGTTTTGTTTTGTTTTTTTGCCAATTTCAACCAGTCCAGTAATGAATATATTCCCTTTTAGCCCTGTTTGTTTTCTCCTAGTGCAGTGTTTCTCAACGTCAGTAACTTTACGATGTGTGGACTCCAGCTCCCAGCATGCTATTCTCCTTATGTTATTTCTCCCGAAGAGAGTACAGCCCTGAGAGATGATCAGTGCTGTGACATCCAGACAAACAGAAATGCCAGTGACAGAATGTTCAGGTGGAAGCTTTCATGCCTGTTCTCATACAGTATACACAAAGATCCTTTTCCTACATGGGACTCAAAAGGATTTGATCCGGATGTTTGGTGAAATGGATTTCCTCACGTTTACTCATTTGCATGCCTTCTATTATACAGACCTGAATGCTAAGATTGAAATTAGCTACAGTAGTTCTAGACTTTATTTCTGTTTGTTTTTTGGAATGGGAGAAGTCTTTTACTTTGATAAAAAGATTGATCAGATATGTCTCTCTCTTTTTTTTTTAAATTTAATTATTTATTTTAAAAGGAAAAAAAAAGACAAATAGAAATTACAAAACAGATATTACACGGAAGAATTTACAAAGTAATATAAGATAAAATTAAAAGAAAATACAAACTCTTCCACTGGAAGAAACATTTCACTTTTATCCTCATGTATCATCTTGGATTAAAACAAATATAAAGATAAGTTTTGTGACAGTTTCATGCTTTAGTGCTTACAAAACTGTTACATTTCACTTTATTAAAATCAAATTTTAGATTAGCTAACACATCTACATGATAAAAATAAAGAATCATAGTTAAGGAGCTTAGAGTCTCTTAAATTCTTTGAAGAGAATCTTCTCTCATGGCAGCGAGATAGGATTTCGCTGTAGCTTGAGCAAGGACTGTCCTTCTCCCCACCTACCCTCCTGCTTGGAACCTAGGCCTATACTTACAGTGGCCATACATCCTTTATTATAAAGGACAGCCCTCTATTTCAGAAAACTGTCCTTTAGATTGATTCATTTTTCAAAAACTCAGTTTTGCCCTTTATTTTGGTCATTTAACTTTTATCATATAAATTGTACCACTTAATGCACAGTCTTTCACATTCATGTGAAAAATATGGAAATTGAATTGTCCTTTTAAAATAAATGTAGATATTTTTATTAAAATATGCATGTTTGTATTTTTTTAAAAAGTTAAAGTTTTGCTCTTGAATTTTCCTTTGTAAAGCAAAGTTATACACATAAACAATTACAATTTTTTATCCTTTTGAACCTCTTTCAGAATTGCCTCTTTTTCAGGTTTGTCCTATATTTTTTCCAAAAAAATATGGTGACTGTACCTGTACTATATAAAAAGGTTCACTGCAGAGCCAGATGCATGGAAACCCAGAGCCTTAAAAAAAAAAAAAAAACCTCAGAGGCCTCTAAACATTGTTACAAGCTGTAATTTTTCAGCTAACAGATGAATGAAACTATTAAAGACATGCCTGGAGAGTAATCAAGCCAACTATATTTTTCAGTAAAAATAAATGAATGAAATTAAATTTAGTTCTGCCCGTGCCACACCCACCATTTTGGTGAAACGCAGCCTCTGCATGCCCCTCGGTGGTTTGGTGTGATTAAGTCTGAAAAACGTTATGCACCCCTGGCTACCTGTTTAAAACAATCATAAAATGGCAGAGAACTACAAAACAATTTAGCCTTCCAAATCCAGATCCTGCTCAGTGGAATAATCCAGATTGAAACAACTCAGACAGATAGTTGTATATGTATGTATGTGTGTAAAATAAATTTCACTGTGGTACTCTAAGTGAGGAAGGTGTTACCCCTTTCACTTCATTATTAGCAATTAACCTGCAGGTGTATTTCAATTGCTTACATAAAGCAGGTCACAGTGTTAAACATAATGGATAAGACTGTTTCATACAATACTCTGTGTATTTATCAAATACACAGGCCTTGAATATGTATTTGACTTACATGTATAGGTTTTGGTAGGTCTACCTTCTAAAAAAGTGCCACTAATATAAGATAACTTCAATACTATCAGTTTAATGGAAGAAAAGAAAATGTAGCCCTCAAATTCATGGTTCAGAATAAAAATGGATAAATGGATGTTAAAAAGTATGCATTTGGCAAGGCCAGCTTTTTCACTAGATGTACACAGTCAGCAGTTGCTCTAAGTGGCTTTTTCATAGGTGAGGTTAATAAAAGGTGTATGTGAGGAAAGGTTTGACAGGTAGCTGTTGTATTTCTTCCAGTGAGTGTCAATCTCTCTGGATTATTCTTAGCACCACTTCCCCCACCCCCCACCCCGGGACAACACTCATTGAGGACTCATCTTTTAGATTATGTGAACTAGCTTAGAACTATCACTACAGCCATAGCTCTGACATTTTGCTGCAACCAGGGTGAAAAGTGAAGAAACTCTTTTTCTTCTTCTTACCCAAAGATTACAGTGAGAGGAAAAGTCCCCTCTAGAAGTACTGAAGGAATGAGAAGACTTTATGTATGGGGATATCAATGTTTACTCTAACCAGAGCTGGACAAAGGTCCTTTTGAAATTCCCCATCAAATTTGGGGGCAAATAAATAGAATGAATTCTTCCTCTGAATTTTCCCACAGAAAAAAGAAGAATCTCCAACAATTTAGCAAGGGCAGGACTCTTCTCCCCATGAACATACCCAATGGGGCAATTCCTCTCACAATGACTTCCCTTGGGGTTCATGAAAGCAAGGGCATGCAGGGAGGTTGCTGACTGCTGGAGAGATGACTGCACAGGGAAAACTAGATGATTTATACACACATTTGGCCACCCCATAACTAAAAGATTGGTACAAGAACTTCACAGTGGTCCCCTGAGTTTTCTTCTTCACTGAAAGTAATTTCTAATTCCCCCCCCCCATAACTTGATTAAGAACTAGCAGCAAAAAAAATAAAAAAATAAAAAGCATATCTGCATCCAACACACCCAGATTTTCATATATACCACTGGAAACCAGTTTCAGAACATGTATGATAATAGAATTTTCCACTGGGGCCTCCAGCACTGGGGCCTCTACATGTCATTCATCATGTACACCCTGTGTCTCTGCCAGAGACACAGCCATGACCCTGTTTCAGCTGACATCTTAGGAAGGTTAGGATTGTAGATTTCCTCCCCGAATGTTATACATCTCCTTACATAGGATGATGAATTATTTGTACAGTGGTAGCTCTACTTACGAATGCCCCTACTTACATGCGGCGCGCAGGTGTTTTGCTGCCCTGTTGCGTGGCGCGCGGGCGCTTTTCCACCCCTGACGCACGGCACGCGGGCGTTTTGCCGCCCTGCAGCGCGGTGCGCAGGCACTTTTCCGCCCCTGATGCATGGTCCGCGGACACCAGAATGGATTAACGGTAATTACATTGAACCTTATGGGAAAAAATCGGGGTGCGACCAAATTCGGAGGGCGGAACGGA